TTTTTGACTTTTTAACAAAATGGGATATTTACATCCCTTATCTTGTCTCTTTCCCCATTTTTCCAGAGAGCACGACCAAATAACACCTCTAACCTTCGAACAAGATTATCATCCGGGGCACGAAATCAAGTAGCGATAACATTAAAACGATCCCTACGACATAAGTATCGCTATACCGCCTCTCTTTTTTCTTTGTAGTTCGATTTTTGCAAGGTACTTCATAGTTAAGAAACGTATAATTTTTGTAATTAAGTGCTTAAATATCAAGGAAGGTTGATAAATAGGTTTCCTAATAGTTGGAACTCACGGGACAGTGATTGAAAGCCGTGAGTTCGATTTTTTTCCACTTTTAGTGGGTTGTTTTGTAGTCCATTTATGTTGGCCTATTTTACTGCTAATTTATAGAGTTTAGAAGGATAAAAGGGCGTGGAGAAACGCCACATGTGGTAGGGTAGTAGGTTGGTCGCTCGTTGTTATAATTCCAGGCTAATTGACAACTTGTTGATTGGGTGTGTGATGGTATATTTGGGGTTTTTGTTGTATTGAAGGTCCCAAAGTGTAATTAGGTTGGTTTTGAGTTGTTGATTGTATTGTGTTTGTATCTCGCCTATAGTAGGCTTGAGGGAGCAGTAAAATTAGGGGAAATGTTGCCCGTTTTATTTTAGAATCAAGTTATCGTTTGAGATACGTAATACACTAGCGCCATATAAGTCGTACATGTATTTCTTTGTTATAGGGTTGGCGCGCTAGTTATCATAAGCTTGTTATGGAGTTGCATTGACGACTTGAGGTATGTTAAGGCTATCCCTCCTTTCCTTTTGGCATAATCCATATGATATAGCGAAACGAGCAAGCACGCAACTTTTACAAATGATTCTATTCTTAGAAGTACTAGGTTTGCCTATGTTCTGGACTCCCCATATGTCCTACTATCATATCGTCTGTTCATGGGTCTCATGACGTTCCGAGAAATCTTACTAACTTACTTCATTATGCATTGCATTCGTTTATAGATGTACATTGACCCATGACCGGATGGCGTTATATACGCGTATATTATATGTATATGGGATATGGGAAAAGGTTATAGCGTTATATACGCACCACCACCTGATCAGCTGGTATATGTTGATGATTTTGCCCGCAGTGACTGAGATGATATTATGGGATGCCCTCAAAGGCTTGATGATGTTATGTACGCATATACCTATGCAAGAAAAGACATTTATACGCACATGCATGACATTATAAATGTTTCATGATTTATAGAGCTATTCAGACTTACAGGTTGAGTCCTTTACTTCATGTTTCTTTCATGTCTTTTACATACTCGGTACTTTATTTATACTGACGTCCCTTTTGCCTGGGGACATTGCGTTTCATGCCCGTAGGTCCCGATAAACAGGTTGACAGTCCTCCTAGTAGGCTATCAGCTCAGCGAAAGGTGTTGTTGCACTCCATTTGCTCCGGAGTTACCTATTTGGTCAGTATGATTTGGACATGTATTGATTGGTATGGCGGGGCCCTATCCCGACCTTTATGACGTTTATGTACTCCTAGAGGCTTGTAGACAGATTTCATGTATATGGATACTTGTATTATCATGTCGGCCTTATAGGCCCGTATGTCGCATGCATAAGCTTCTATATCATGTTGGGTCGTCCCATGTTGAGTATACTCTTATGTTTTATTCTAGTTATCTCAAGACAGCCCTTCCGGCTCATTTACCTATGATAGTATGATACGAAAGATATGTTACGTTGGTACTCGGTTGAGTAAGGTACCGGGTGCCCGTCGCAGCCCATCGGTTTAGGTCGTGACAAAAGGTATCATTGTAATCGAGCCTAAATATCTAAGTATATCCCTTGGCAACAAGACGGGCCTTAAGGCGATCAATCTTTCCATCCGAACCAACCTTGACTGCATATACCCAGCGACAACCAACAGTAGATTTACCTGAAGGAAGAGGAACGAGCTCCCAAGTACCACTCGTACATAAAGCTGACATCTCGTCAATCATAGTCTGTCGCCATCCTAGAAGAGACAATGCTTCAACTGTAAACTTAAGAATGGAAACAGAGGACAAAGAAGATATAAAAGCATAATAGGGTGATGACAAACGATGATAACTTAAACCGACATAATGGAGATTAGGATTAAGGGTGGTCTGTATACCTTTCCGAAGTGCAATCGGTGTACTAGGAGACAAGTCCGCAGTAGGAGCAGGGTCAGATGCAGGACGTGAATCAGCTGGGCCTGATATTGGGTGCGGACGATGATAATATATCAAGAGTGGTGTTCCTGTGGCGGGGAGTCTAGGAGGAGCCACACTAGACTCCCCAACGGTTGGAATAGGTAAGGCTTCTGTGGCGGAAGGTGAAGGAGAAGCTATAGTAAACTCCTTAAAGGTCGGTATAGGTAAGACCTCATATATATCAAGATGGTCAGAATGGTCAGAAGATGTAAAGAAAGGTTTAGACTCAAAAATGTGACGTCAGATGACATAAAGTACCTACGAAGATCAGGTGAGTAACAACGATATCCCTTCTGAACATGAGAATAACAAAAGAAAACACACTTGAGTGCACGAGGAGCTAACTTATCTTTCTCAGGGGCTAAGTTATGAACGAAACAAGTGCTCCCAAAAACACGAGGGGGAACAAAGTATAAGAGTGACTGGGGAAATAATACTGCATATGGAATCTGATTCTGGATGGGAGATGAAGGCATCCGATTAACCAAATAACAAGTTGTGAGAACTGCATCGCCCCAAAAACGCAACGGAACATGAGATTCAATGAGAAGTGTGCGAGCAGTCTCAATGATATGTCTATTCTTTCTCTCTGCACCCCCATTTTGCTAAGGGATATAAGAACAAGAGATCTGATGAATAATTCCTTAAGAAGTCATAAACTGCTGAAACTGAAAGGATAAATATTCTAAGGCATTATCACTGCGAAAAGTGCGAATAGAAACACCAAATTGATTTTTAATTTCAGCACAAAAAATCTAGAATATAGAAAACAACTCATAACGATCTTTCATTAAGAAAATCCAAGTACATCTTGAATGATCATCAATGAAACTAACAAAATAACGAAATCCCAAGGTTGAACTAACTCTACTAGGACCCCTATATCAGAATGAACTAAAGAAAAAACAGAGTCTGCATAACTCTCAATACTACGAGGAAAGGAGGCTCGGGTATGTTTCCCGAGCTGACATGACTCACCCTCTAATATAGATAAACTAGACAAACTAGGCACCATCTTCTGAAGCTTGGATAAGCTTGGATGTCCTAAACATCTGTGAATTAAGTCCGGAGGATCTGTAACTAGACATGCCTTGGAGGAATTGAGTGAGTTAAGGTAGTAAAGGCCTTTTGATTCAAGTCATGTTCCAATCGTTTGTCCCGTACTGCGGTCCTGCATAATAAAAGAATCATCAATAAAATATATACTACAATGGAGGGCACGAGTCAAACGACTACCAGATGCAAGATTAAAAGGACAGCCATGGACATAAAAAACGGAATCTAGAGTGACAGAGGGTAGGGGATTCGCTTGTCCAACTCATTTTGCTTTAGTTTGAGACCCATTGGCTAAAGTAACAGTGGGAAGAGACTGTGAATATGCAATATTTGACAAAAGTGATTTATTACCAGAGATATGATCAAAAGCGGTTGAGTCCACAACTCATTGTCCAAGAGTACTAAACAGGGAAACACAAGCAAAAGAATTACCTGCAACAGAAGTATCAGTCTAAGCAACAGAGGCTACTTGTGGAGATGTCTGCTTACTTGCTCGATACTGAATGAACTCATTATACTCCCCTTCAGATAAGAAAATCCCTGGTTACCTGTAATCTCGGTCTGAGCAACATAAGCATTTGTGGGTGGACGACCATGTAAAGAATAGCACATGTCACGAGTGTCTCCAAGTTTATGACAATAAGAGCACTTGGGTCTAGATCTTCCAAAATGACCTCCTCTTCATCTATTCTCCATAGTTTGAGATGCCCGATTGTCCACTGACTGGGATACGAGAATAGATGAGTCAAGTGTCTGTGATGAGCTCACTGGGTGACTTGGTGTTGCAGCAAGGCGAAGTAATCGAGAGAATAATTCATCAACTGTGGGGACAGTCGGACTAGCCAAAATCTGGTCACGTACTGAATCAAGGTCATTAGGAAGTCCAGCGAGTGTAAGAACTAGAAACATCTTATGTCATTGCTCTTGTTGCTTTTCAATACTAGCAGAAACTAGCATCAACGTCTCAAATTCTTCCATGATTGCATGTACTTGTCCCAAGTAAGTAGACATATCCAATTCATGTTTCTTCAAGCTTGTCATTCGCGATATTACATCATAGAAACGAGATATGTCATTAGTGTATAAATTACGAGCCTTTGGAATGGACGGAACAAGGGCATCAACTTGGAATAAATAGATCGCCACAGGATACTACATAACTGAGCATCGACCTTCTCCCAAAGCGTTTTAGCCTTTTCATCACCTTCGCTAGCTTTTTTTGTTAAATGATCTTGAACTCCTTGACCTTTACACCACAACTCGACAGACGAAGCCCAAGCTAAGTAGTTTGAACTTCCCATTAAAGGTTCTGAGGTAATCATAACACCGAAACTGCCAGAACCCGGGTTTTTAGACCTGAAAGCATCGACTCCCAAAGACATCGTTGGATTGAAGTGAGGTCTATAAAATTATCACCAAATAACAGAAAGAATCAATTGAAAACTCGCTAAAACAGATGAAGGAGACATTGTTTTTGCCGAAAAATTACTGTAAGTGCCGAAAAAAATCAGTGTAGTCGCCGAAAAAACTCAAAGTGGTCAGAATCAAACAAAAACAGTATGGGAGGGGTCGGAATTGGTACACAACCCAACTGTTTTGAAGAAATTTTTTCAAAAAATGGCCGGAGGATGCTGCACGCGCCGGCATGTGAGCTTTTGGTGGCGCGTGGGGAGGCTGTTGCCGGAGATTTTTATGGGCTTTTGTCACCGGACAGTGGTGACTCTTGTGGTAGTTTTGGATTTTGCACAATAGTGACAAAGACAACGCAAACGCAAACAACCTTGAAAAAGCCGCCAAAAAAAGGCTTCCGGTGACTAATTTCTCTTCCCGAAACCGCTGGAATTTATGCACAGCGATAAATCTCTCACAATTGCTCTGATACCATGTGAGAAAGCACGGGAGAAAATATTATTGATATTATTCTCATATGTTAAACATGATACAATGAGCCCTATATATATACATAACATGTCTTACTCCTAATACATATGGGATTAGGGTTATTTACTACTCCCTCCGTTCCAATTTATGTGAACCTGTTTGACTGGGCACGGAGTTTAAGTAAAAAATGAAGACTTTTGGAATTTGTGGTCCTAAACAAGTCCAAATGGGGCCCAAAGTATTTGTGTGGTTATAAAAGCTTCTCATTAAGGGTAAAGTTGTAACTTTAAGCTAAATTGTTACCAAATTTAGAAAGGGTTCATTCTTTTTGGAACGGACCAAAAAGGAAATAGATTCACATAAACTGGAACAGAGGGAGTACTATTTACATAACTATTTTAACAATAACAATGTAAGTGCCAAGCGGAAGACAAAATGTGAAGGAATGAGTGTCTTTGGTCTACAAAACTTTCCCCTCTATCCACACCATAGAACACCTTAGTTTGCGACAGCAATGCCTAAAAGGCTAAAACATAATTCTCAGTTATCACTTAACTGGCCCCAATACCATACCAGTTGATGAATTGCTCCTTCAGACTTCAAAGCGTAATACAACAATTTATGGTTTCTAACAGTAATGACCAAACTATCCTTCTCAATTAGAGCAAGAAAACATAGAACCAAAAACTCCCTAAAGAGTTGTAACTTTAATTTCCACGTCCATCTAAGAAGGGATGGAAGCAAAATCTTACAAATTTCGTAAACAAATAAAAGGTCTTATTAAATTACTTCATCACAGTATGTACAACTATATTATTATCCTCTGGTTTGCTCCCAAAAAAATTATGCAGAAAGGAACAAGGGATGGGCTGATATATTTATGTAAAAGATGAAGGAAAGACGACAATTGCTTTGGTAGAAGAAAGTCAAGAAATAAAGATATGATATAAAGGTTGTTTTTCTCCAAGACTGACATATTACTGTGTGGACAAATGTGCTTCGAGTCTTCAAAAATGTTGTTGGGTGTGTGTCGGAACTTCCAAACGCAGTGCATTTTTGGAGATCCGGTACAACAACATTTTTTAAGAGTCTGAGCAACTTACAATATGGTATAACTAAAGAAGTAATGTTGATCTTATAGTTTGCAGTTAAGGAAAATTGCTATTAAGTTAATTCAGCAGCCCCCCCCCCCCCCACCCCCAAAAAAAAAAAAANCACCCACCACATGCTGAGCTGCAACATCATAAACATGGCGTGTAGTTGTAGCAGAACCAAAAACTTTATCTGTATGAAAGATATTTCCTTTTTCTAATAAGCAAAATAAATGATATGTCCTTGGGAAAGTGACAAACACGTTAACCCTAGGAATAGGCAGAACGAAAAAAAAGTAATGGAACAAAATAATCTAACACTAGAACTCCATTAAAACAGTGACAACTGGAACTCCGGACACAACCATGCATGAATGATTGTACCTCCTGCAACATCAGTAGTACTTTTTGACGAATGAACATATTTTACTACATTATTATTACAAGTACATACACTTCCACACATTTATACAGATAGAAAAATGAAAGCTAACAGTCCACCAAGTCATAAAAGACTAACCAAAACTATAAGCAATTTTGGGATTGTTCTCATTGCGGACTGTATAATCTCCATCAGCATACCAAGCTAACTCGTCGCCTTTCCCTATCTCTCTAGCGCTACAAAAGATGAAAGAAATCCATTTGTCATCATCAGTAACAGCTCAGCTAATGGAGGACCAGTGTAAAACTAAAAGTAAGGAAATTACTCACTTGAGCGGACGAAACCTAACGGTAACAGTGACATTCTCCTTAGTCTTTCCAGAAGAACCCGGTGGATAGTCGGAGCTAGGAGTCGACGGAGAAAATGATGATTTTGCCGGCGGTAGAGTGGGAGCTTTGGCGGAAGTAGTGGAGGAAGGGGTAGTAGGACGCTTAGAGGAGGAGGAAGACGACGACGACGATTTTCGTGACCGGAACGGCGAGATTGATGATCGGAGCCTTGACGACGACATCGGAAGAGAGAGAGAGAGAAGTGTGGGGGGGTCACGTGCAGGCCGGCGAATATATTTGCCGCCCTTTGTATATCCCTCCAAAATACGAGCTTTTTGATAATCTATTGAGCGGGTCTTCGAAATTTTTGGGTCTCTGGTGGTGAAAGTGAAATGACCAAAATGGCCTCCTGACGCATGATCTAACCTGGGGAGTGGGGACTGGGACTCTGGACCGTTTAGTTCAAAATGGGAGGGGAATCCTTTTCTCGTTTCTTCGAGTATCTGTCAAGTCATTTTCCTCTTGATATGGTGGATTAGTGCAAGCTGAAATTTTATTTTATTGTCTTAGTAGGCCAGTGAATAATGTGGATGAGATAGTACGATTTCCGTGGGATATTTTTAGTTCTTAACTCAACTATATTTATTTTTGGGGAAAAGAATCAATACAGTCCTTGAATTATGTGATATGGTATATATATGTCATGTGTTAATAGTTGGGTGTGTTTCATCGTTATAAGTGTGGCACATATATGCCCTAATTAGCTGGATCTAATTAGCATCTAAATACTTAAATTAGTACCTAGGGTTGCCTCATGTACGTCATCCAACCAACAATTAACTTATGACATATCTAAATCATTTACCAGAATTTAGGGTCAAATTTGATCATTTCTCATTTAGTTTTGTATTGACTTATTATTCTTCATCTTCCGAAACACTACCGCATATAATCACCTCCTCGCTAAAACTCTTTTTCATTGCGAAACTAACTATTCAAAATACCTGCTTTAAAAACAAAGCCTAGCAGAAGATAAGAGGGCGCGACAAACCTCCCAGCGCCTCGCTCTTCTTGCTCCACCATCAGTATACGATATTAGTCTTAGTCATTCACATCTACTCCATAACACCACCACATAACTTATTCATCCACCAATAATAGACCTTTATTAGTCCCTCAAAGAAAAAACTCTCCGAGAAATGATCAAGAGGCTACATACAATTCTCTTTCACTATATTTTCTTCCATTGTTTTTTTAATATCCTTCTAAAAAGATGGATAAAAAAATTCACTGAAGAAAAATATTATACTCTTGGACAAAAACCACCATGGTCGGCCACCATCGCGCACAAAATAATATTTTTCTGCTTTCTTTCCTCAATAAAATCAAACAAGTAAAAAAAATCCAACTATAACAATCGTCGACCACCTTGTTCATTCAAACAATACCGGATTGTTCTCGATTCTCATCATCATCAGTCCAACACTTGAAAAAACACCACCGCTCTACCATCAACTATAATATTTCACCACATTTCCTTATCATATGCCTTTTGTCGAAATGACAAAAATACTATAACTGTTATATTCTCACAATTATATGACTCACCAAATAAACTCTTCATCACCAAAAATAACCTTCATCAATAAGACTTACCAAACAATGCCACCATGATCCCACAATAAACACCATCTTTTGAATGTTCAGGTTGGAGATGGTTAGAGAAAAGAACTATAGTTTGAAGATGAATGGTAAATGGGATACCTTAAGTGGAGAATATGATTTTATGAGGTGTTTTTTGGGAAGATGAAATACAAGAGAAATAAAAAGGGAAAATGATTAAATTTGCAAATTCAGTTTTTTAATTATGCCCTCGGAAATTATTTTATAATTATTAGGTTGTGTACATACCAAATTCAATTTCTTGAATCTGTAGTGAAAACAAATCTTCAATATGTCAACAACACAAAAACTATTTAATTTTTAAAGAAATTGAGTTTGGAAATCCTTAAAGAAGGTCACCTTCTTCCTTTTTGGTAGAAACGGTTCAAAACAAATATTTTTTGGACAAAAATTCATGAAATGTTATGGAGTTTGTAGATATAGGTGTCGGCCGGTTATTTTGAGCATTTGTGCTTCGCTAGTAGTTTGAGGGTATGAGTAGCTCCATATGATGTATTGTGACTTGTGTGAATTGTCGGTTTTTGTTTTCAGGTTATTCGGTGTCACGACCCCGGTTCGCCCTCCGTGAACCATCGTGACGGCACCTAGTCTCTATGACTAAGTAAGCCTAATTTGCGGAAGAAAAACCAAAATTTCCGGAAATAAACAATTTAAAACAGAAATAAAGTAGTAGCAGTGTTTAAATGTGTCGCTCGGCATACACTATGTTTAACTCTTAATACCAAAACATAAATCTAAGACACGAAAACCCACGAATCACAAGCTGAGATTAATACTACATAGCTCTAACTCCGGAATGTCTAATAACAACAGAAAAAGTACAGAAGGGCTAAATACTAAAAGCGGGAATAGAAAGGGACTTCTCGGTTTGCGGACGCGGCAGATGTACCTCGAAGTCTCTAGAGCAGTCGCCTCCTCAAAAATGATAGGCCTGAGTAGCGGTACATGGATTTGCACATGAAAAACATGCGCAGAAAAGGCATGAGTACACCACAGCGGTACTCAGTAAGTGCCAAGCCTAACCTCAGTTGGGTAGTGACGAGGAAGGTCAGGGACCTACTAAGATTAAATAAATATAATGATGATAGGATAAGATAAGCAGTACAATCGAGAGTCTACAGTAAGAATCTACACAGGGTAATAAGAGTACAATAACGGAAACAGAGATGAAGGCAAACCACAAGGAAGTAACCGGGGATCTCTCAGTATCCCGAGGATCTCTTAGTACCCTCAATATATGTCAGGGATCTCTTCGTATCCCGAGGATCTCTCGGTATCCTCAATATATGCTAGGGATCTCTTGGTATCCTGAGGATCTCTCGGTATCATCAATATATTTACTAGGGATCTCTTGGTATCCTCAATATACGTGCCAGGGATCTCTTGATATCCCACACCTCAGTCCAGATCATAAATACGTACATGGGATCTCCCATGATTCCGTCCCGTAGTCCCAAATTAAAAACACATAGAAGCAACACAAGAATACTCAATTAAATGCAAATTTCGTACCAAGTAAGCAGTTAATTCTAACCTAACATGCTTCACGTAATGCAATTAAATCAGTTTAAGCAAATAGGCAATTAAGTCAACTAAACATGCTTTTTCTAAACTACAACAGGCTAAATTCGCAGGTAGAATAAAACAGGAAAAAGGAACTCAAATGAAATACATAAAGTAAAATCGGATTTCAACAATTAGCTCAAGTACGCACTCGTCACCTCACGTACAAGGCATTTCAATTATCAAATATATTATATCTTAAGGGGAAGGTCCCCCGTACAAGGTTAGACAAGCCATTTACCTCGAACCGGCTCAAAATCAACTCAATACCATGTCTTTGCCACGAGTACTCGACTCCAAATGCCCCAAATCTATTCAATTCAATTGCACAATGTAAATAACACTTCAAGTAACTGATTTTACAATTAAATTCTAAGCTAATACGCGAAATTATGTAAAATGACCAAAACGCCCCTCGGACCCGCGTCTCGGTATCACGTAAAATTTATAGTTTAAGAATCCTCACACTCTCACGAGTCTAACCATACCAAAATTATCCAAATTCGATGTCAAAACTCAATTTCTTGGCCTAAGAATTTTTCCCCAATTTTCATACAAATTCCAAAATTAAAGGTTGAATTCATGTTTAGATTAATGGGTTACAAGTAAAAATGAGTTAAGAATCGTTACCCAATCGATATATCTGAAAATCCCTCAAAATCTCGCTCAAATCCGAGCTCCCAAGCTTAAGTTTTGACAAAAATGGCTAAAACCCTCGATTTTGAAATCTTATATCTACCCAGAAAATTCCTTCTTCGCGAATGCGGTCAAAGTCTCGCGTTTGCGAAGCACAAAATAACTTTGACCATTTTTCCTTCTTCGCGAATGCGCCCCTCACTCCGCAAATGCGATGCCTTGCACAGACGAACCTTCGCGAATGCGATGGGCACCACGTAAACGCGATGCACAAAACTCCACTAGGCCAATTCCTCTTCCGCGAACGCGAAGCCCAAACGCGAACGCATAACACAACCATCCAGCCTCTTCGCGAACGCGAAGGCCAAACTTTTCCCCCAGTCCCAGCTCCTCTTCGCAAAAGCGATAACCCACCCGCGAATACGATGAAGGAAACAAGAACTGACTGCTGCAACATTTTCTGCAATTTCCTAAGTTCCAAAAATGACCCGTTGAGCATCTGAAACACACCCGAGGCCCCCGGGACCTCAACCAAACCTGCCAATTAATCCTAAAACATCATTCAAACTTGTTCCAACCCTCGAAACGGTCAAAACAACATCAAAACACCTATTTTTCATCGGATTCAAGCTTAAAAATTCCAAAAACTCTAAAAACACACTTTCGATCAAAAAGTTTACCAAACATCGTCCGAATGACCTGAAATTTTGCACATACATCCCAAATGACATGATGAAACTACTGCAACTCTCGGAATTCCATTCCGACCCTCGAATCAAAATCTCACTATCGAACCGGAAATTTCCAAAATTCAACTTTCGGCATTTCAAACCTAAATTAGCTACGGACCTCCAAAACACAATCCGAATACGCTCCTAACCCCGGAATCATCCAACGGAACCATCGGATTTCCATTTCGAGGTCGTCTTCACACTGTTCCGACTACGATCAACTTTCTAACACTTAAGCTCTCATTTAGGGACTA